CAATGCCATAATATCGTATATGACCATGGGATTCACAGCTGTTAGTGATGTCATAATATCATATATGTCCATGGGATTCACAGCTGTTAGTGATGTCATAATATCATATATGACCATGGGATTCACAGCTGTTGGAGATGTCATAATATTGTATATGACCATGGGATTCACAGCTGTTAGCGATGTCATAATATCATATATGACCATTTGACTCACAGCTGTTAGAGATGTCATAATATCATATATGACCATTTGACTCACAGCTGTTAGGGATGTCATAATATTGTATATGACAATGGGATTCACAGCTGTTAGCGATGTCATAATATAGTATATGACCGTTGGATTCACAGCTGTTGGAGATGTCATAATATTGTATATGACCATGGGATTCACAGCTGTTAGCGATGTCATAATATCATATATGACCATTTGACTCACAGCTGTTAGAGATGTCATAATATCATATATGACCATGGGATTCACAGCTGTTAGCGATGTCATAATATAGTATATGACCATGGGATTCACAGCTGTTAGCGATGTCATAATATCATATATGACCATTGGATTCACAGCTGTAAGGAATGTCATAAAATAGTATATGACCATGGGATTCACAGCTGTTAGAGATGTCATAATATCGCACATGACCATGGGATTCACAGCTGTTGGAGATGAGACAGGATGAGCATCTAACTACTAATCTGTTACGACAGATATTGACATCACGCCGTCAGTGAGCTGTCACCCTGGCAGATGTTTTAATGCACAAAAGATTCGCTTGCATGGCTATTTTCTATTGAGATGATTCAGAGCTGAGTCAATGGAGTTCTCTATTAAACTCAGTATTGTTGTAGCACTGTGGTAACTGTCCCATACAATTTCTGCTGATTGAACAATAGGAGCAGAACAGGACCTTAGTCTAGTGTTTTCTTTCAATCATCAAAATAATTGCATTTAAAGAAAAGCAGTTTTACGTAATGGCATGCGACATGGCTGCTTGTCCATGGAATCAAGATTCCATTTAGAATGTGAGGTGTTGACCTCTCACAGTGTGACGGCCAAATCAATGATGACCTGTATGTTCACGGCCTTCTGGGAATATGCATCCAGCTTCAAATATCATAATTAAATTGAGATAATTACAAAACCATCTTTTTCAAAGATGAGAATTTATGCAAGGAAAGCAAAACTTGTTTATCATGACATCTTGAAATATTAGAAATGTGACACAAGTAAACAGTTTTAGATGTTTATAAAGAGCCTTATTAACACATTATTTTTGTATTCTTAAAAAAACATGGTTTGTTGGTAATTCCAACTAAATCTGGTCCAGACAAACCAGTGATTGACATTGTGTGTAACATCCCACATTGTCAAGGTACGATGAGTGAGTGAGTGAGTGAGTTGGGTTTAACACCGCTTTTAACAGTATTCCAGTTATATCGCGGTGTGTCAGCTAACGTGGGAGGAAAGCCAGAAGTGATGCAGGTCTCAGACGTTTACCACTTCAGTGAAACCCACGAGCACGGGTATGGTGCTGACAAACCTAGAAACATAATCGGGGCGAACCGGGATACGAAACCCACAATCATAGGTTTTTGGCGTGCCCAAGGGACGCAACTCCGCACAGAGAATTGCAGCGCCTTAGACGACTGGGCCACCCATACCCCCTCAAGGTATGACATGCCAACCAAGTCACTGAGCCTAACCACCCAACAAGCATAAGTTGCTGGGCACCAGTTCTAACCTTGAACCCCCAAAAGGTGAGTGAGTGAGGTGGGTTTAACGCCGCCCTTTGAACACTATACCAGTTATATCACGGCTTGTAGGCTTAAAGTGGGAGGAAAACCCTATTGAAGTCTTACAAGTTTACCACTTTGGTGAAACCATCGAACGTGGGTATGGTGCTGACAAACCTAGAAACATAACCGGGGCGAACCGGGATACGAACCCACCCACAACGTGAAAGTATCTTATTATGGTGTATGTTAGAATTCTTGCTGATGTCAACAGAAAAGCAACCAGATTATCTAATCCATGTCGAGTGTCCAAATTCATTAGTGCTGGGCTGGTGTTACAAGACTGTCATAATGTGGTGCATCATTACCAAGACAGTTAAGGTTGAGATACAATACATGAAAACTGGACACTGGTCATGGATTAGATAATCTGGTTATATTCAATTGGGACTAACTTCAGTGGCATAAAAAATATCCAAAAGCTAAAAAACATTAAATATATTCAGCAATCCATGTAGATTAAGAAATATTTGAGAACTTTTTCACCCTCCTGCCCGACAGTCCGAGACGGTCTATTTTGCTGACAGATGTTCACTTTTGAAAAGTTATTATTGTATTACCTAAGCATTCTAGTTTTAATTCACTGTAAGAGGAAAAATAACTGTCAACATTAAACACACGATTCAGTCACTTCCTCGTATGTTGATATCAAATGTCGGTACTCACACTATTCTTATGTTTTTCCTTTTGTTACTTTTGTTTGTTAGTCTAGAAGATTATTGCACTTATATATATATATATATATATAGCAACATGCATGTACGTGTGTGTGTTTGTGTGGCTGCTTGTACTAGTCCGGACTGATGCCGATTTATAGTGCTAGCTCACTGAGATACCATGCCGCAGTTTATGAATACCGCACTCAGACACAGTATACTGACTCCGAGCCGACACCTTGTTTTAGCCCCTTAATGCCGAGTGCCACACAGGGTAACAACAAGTACCATCTTTTAACATCTTTTGGTCTGACGCGGTCGGGGATCAAACCCCGGACCTTCTGCTCTCCGGGCGGACGCTCTACCACTAGACCACGGAGGCGCCAAGTGGTGAAAGTGTTGGCGGCTTATACTATTAAATACCCAGTTCAATTCCCACCAAATGGGGAATGGGTTTCATCATCATATCTAAAACCTTGTCAGCGAGCCTTACCACCCGATCCCGTTAGTCACCTCTTAGGACAAGCACTGTTGTCATCTACACCAATTGCCAAAGCAAAGGAAAACACAGACATGGGGAATGGGTTTGTTTCATCATCATACCTAAAACCTTGGTTCTAATTGCCACATGGATCATGTATGAGATGCCAGTACTTGATGCCTTAAGCTGATATAGATATAACATTCATTCATTTGCTCTCTGTTGTCATCTTGTTTGTTTGTTGTTTAACATCACACTCAGCAATATTCCAGCTGTACACGGCGGTCTGTTAATAATGTAGTCTGGACTAGACAATCCAGTGATTGACATCATGAGCATCAATCCACGCAACTGGGATACGATGACATCATCAACCAAGTCAGCAAGCCTCACAACCCGATCCCGTTAGTCGCCTCTTAAGACAAGAACTGCCAAAGCAAAGGAAAACACAGACATGGATAAAATTGACATTTGATTTATTAACATTGAGAATGTGTTTCTGTACACATACAACAGAACAATAAATAGTATGCCAAGAGCTGGTGATTGTCCCTACTTGACCTGCACAGTGACCTCACAGTGGACCATCCCACCCCACCACCTCACTCAGTCAACATCACTGATTATGCTTATGTTAACAGTTCATCTTCTAACTTGTGCCTGGCGATACATTTACAGTTGTTGAATTACAACCTCAGTTTCAAAACTTTTTTTTCGATTTGATAATAAGGTTTTCATTGAAATTTGTGTATCTAAAATGAAGTGAGACAGGTATAATTTTTATCCCTGAATTTAAGAATTCCGGGGGATAAATATGCTTGCCCTCTGTCCAGTAAAGGTATCCATCCGGTCAGTAGACATTTATTATTTTGATAGTTTGACCCTAATATGGATAAGTGCTGGAAACAAACATGGTTTATCCAAGAATATTACAGGAAACTGAAACTGATGTGTGCCGAGAAATTCTATACAAGAAATACAATTTTATGTTTTCAAAAGTGAGTTGGGCATGGCTTCAAACCTGGCCCACTAAAACTATGTCTGAGTTACCACAGTGTTGCATAAATGAATGGTATTTGGGGCTCAATTTTTAAGTTCATCTCGTTGTAACAAACCTAGAGCATGACGAGTCTGGTCCCTGTGTCGGCCATTGTGAAGCATATAACAGCTCTTGTTGGGAATAGTTGCCACGCATACAGCATCAACATCCTCAGTCAGGGCTCTGTATTTGGCAGTAGAGGCCCTGATGGAGGATTATGTAAGGCTAACTGGCACAGCAAATCATATTTTCTTATTTACCATCATATTCATTTTGAATACAATAATATCTGTTCATGTCCTTAATAAGTACTTATTTGTGGATCACTTGCAGTGAATTAACATGGCTGCTATATGACTAACAACTAAGCATATATCAATAGGCTTCACATGATCGGCATATGTTCTGCATGTGCCACGTAGGGAACTGCTGCACACTTTACAATGCAGCATGCACATCAACATGATTCAGTATAATTCAGTAATGATTCAACATGTATATATAAAAGCATTGCTTCATATGACTCTGTCAGACTTTCCTGACCAACACTAGTTGTATGGTGAATTGTACATAGAAGACATGGTGGTGGTGTAATCGGCAGTCTTAATTGGGGAACTAGTGAGTGTGGAAACATGAGAAACCATATCCTATCACAATAAACCATGGAGAATATGTAAAATTCAACTACTAAAAAACGTTAATTTTTATCATTTTATCTATACATGGTACAAAATTCACATCCCTGTTTAAAAAATGTTTTTGAGAATGATTTGTAACACTGATGGAAATTTTACACATAAAAAGGAATAATATTAATATTTCAACCAATAGACAAGAAACAAACAACGGGGTAGGCTAATGACAATATGAAATTTGCAGAGCACCAATATCACTATGAAGGAGAAGTGGCTGTGTACAAATACATCTGTTAAGCTATGGTCACAAAAGTATATCCTTAAAAAATATATCATATGATCATGCTACTTCCTAATTACAAATTCTGGCTCTGGCGAGTTATTTTTAGAGGAAAACAAAACAACTTTTCCAAAATCAATACGATGACGTCTTAAGTAAATAAATTAGTATTGATTTTATTTATTTCTTTGTGCTTATCAAGTCATCCTTAAGAATTGATACTTCTGCATAATATTGGCCTAGAAAATCTGTAACACAAAAACAAAACCTGTCCTGACCTCATCACAGACCTTAATAGTCCGTGGTTTGATGAGATGACGTTATATACATATCAGTAATGTGAGGGAGTTGTATGAAGGTCAACCAGTTCGTCCAAGGTCACCAACGCTACTATACATGTCACTTATTACATCTTTGGATCAAAATATGGCAAAAGATTGTAAGAAAACTCATATAAAATCTATAAAGCTAAACTTGTGGGACCTTGAAGAAATAAAATTAGTAAAGAACAATGAAACAAAAAACTAGAATATGATACATGGATTTCCCCAAAATGTGCTCAAGTATCAAATCTGTTACCTGTGGTAGTACTGGCATAAAAATACTGAAAACTATGGGTCATTATTATTATTACTAAGGAACCAACCACTTCATTTCTGTGGGGTGGGGCTTTGGTTAGTTTACAAAAATATTTTGTCCTCAGATTTTACTCCAAAAATGATATTGATCAGTGGACATACTGATGTCCTGAAAAAAATTGACTCTTACAAAAATCCCTGCCGCCACCAACCCCCAGAATATTAAATGGTGGGTTTCTAAGAGTAATAACACAAATATGACTGCAGTGTGGATTTTCACACATATTAAACAAGGACGTTTGATACCTATGAACATGATTTTGAAAAACCATTGAGTAAGTTTCATGGTGTGGAGAGCTGTTCCTGTTAAAGCTGTGCATCTGCTATTATGCAGTCAAAAGAATACAAAAGAGTCTAAGGGTGATTGACTTAATAGGATGGGTTGCGTTGATGGGTTGCGCTGGGTCAGGCTGACTTCACATTGGAAGTTTCCAGTGGGTGAATCTGGCGTAACGCAGCACTGAACTTCAGTTATATCACGGGACAGCAGCTTGGGAGGAAAGTCCGAAGTAATGCATGGGTATGGTGCTGACAATCCAAGAATGATAATCAGTGTGAATCTGGGAAGTAGTTATACCACTGACAAAACTTAAGGACCTCCAGATTCTTTCATATTACTTTAGTTAATCTGTCATGCCAAGGGATGAAAGAGTTGGGTGGTCTTTTACTTATTTTCAGTAGTATATTTGAGCACCACTTACACAGTACATGAAGATGCTTCCTGAAATATCCTTACACCAGACCAATTACTTTTCCTGTTTATCATATTGACCAAATATTGACATAGAGGAGGCAAAATTAAAAATAAAATGTATTTGGTAAAGGTTTATATCAGCTAATTTCTTTTAAACAATTTCTTGAAAAAGATATACAAAGCAAATTTTAAAAATAATTTTCCAACACAGTATTAGCTTTTATTTCTTAAATCTGTCAGACAGGAATATTTTTGTATAGTATGGGATGACTGTTATGAGAAAGAACAGACAATACAATTAATGTACTATGCATATCATGGCCACATCTTTGATGGACAGGACTTCATAGTGTCTGGACAAAGCTTCATTGTAAGTCCGGTTTGTGTAGGTCAGATACAAGACACATCAAGAACTGCCGCGAATTTGACAACCATTTCTAGAACTGTCAATCTGAAGTACTTGAGATGTATGTATTATTAATGCACAAGGACAAATGACAATCACTCCTTACCAGAAATGCAAATATGACTTAATTATAGATGGTCAGATCTGAATAAAACAAGACAATGTCGACTAACAAAAACATGAAATAGCTGCTTGTCAACGCTTGACAAACACGATAACCACATACCATATCAGACATATTTAGTGCCCTTGGTGATGGTGAAATGGATTCAGTGGGACATTTTAAACATGCAAAATACATGAATCTGACAACAGACTGTCATCTGCCAGTGTCGATTGTTTCATTACTGCTGTGATGATCTCAGAGATTTTCAATCAACACATGCATAATTCTTAAATGCCCAGAGGGGCAGAACTAAAGCACAATATTATATCCCCAGGTCTTCAAGGGGCTGATTTATCCCTGCCCCCTGAAGAATAAATGATCGTTCCATTAAACTAATCTTTAAAGGGAAAACATAACGTGAAATGACACAAAAACTTACTTAACATGTAAAACGTCCACTATGATGAAAATAGTCCACTTTTCTGGGCACTAAATGCATCCAAAAAAGTAATTTCTGTCAATATCTACACTGATTGATTTGTCGCAATTACCCTGAAGAGTATGTTGAGAGTCATACATGGATTTATAGCTGGCTACATACAGAAACAATCTCACTGTGAGAACCTTGCAGTGACACAAAGGTAGACATGCACAACCTTGCATTTGTGAAATGTAAATATGTAATATCATGTTTCAACATACTCATACAGATATCTATCTTGAAATTTGAAGTAAAGCCAGACGACAGATAAAGATCCTTTTGATAAAGCTTTTATCTTTTTGACATTCAGTTATATAATCTGAAGCAAAACAAAAATTATGACAAAAATGTCTCCCATTTGATATTACTTCAGATCCATGTTATAAATGTGATGATTGAATAAATTAATTTCCAACAAAACATGTATTTCAAATTCAAACATTGGGATGACCACCAAACCAGAAAATATTGATTTCCAATTTCCGATCATAGGATCTTCCTGTATTATTTAAACCAATTTTTTCATTTTCATTTTCTTGTTTTGACATCAACATGAGAAGGTTAAAATCAAGTTCGAATAATAACATCAATTCAAACAAACCTTTCAAATCTAAATGGTCAATTGATATTTTCTATCAAGTGTATACTTAAATGCTAACACCTAAAAAGTGTCTTTTTTAACATGTAACAAGTGTAGAACAAAATACCAAGGGGAGACAATCCTTTTCCTTTCAGTTCAACAAACCATTGCTCCACTCACTGTCCCAGGCAATGCACATTTCTTGGGAGTCCGATAACACTCTGGAGTTAGTTCCCAAGCACATCAACCTCTATGTGTAAAATGCCTCGTACTGGTGGGGACGGTCCTATATGAATGACTTCAGCAATAGACAGACAGGAGGTAGGAAGGCAGTGACAGGATCAGTCATTATAGTGATTGGCCCACGGAGGAACATTGTGATGGGTATATGACATGACTTCAAATCTTAATGATCCATGAATGATAAATATATGAGAGGCCATAGCTTTGTGATTGAGCCAAAGCTTCAGTCAAGTAGTTCCAAGTTCATAATCTTCTTCACATGATTGCAGAGCAAGCACACCAACACAGCTACACATACAGAAACTGCTAGTAACAACCCAATTAAGCCTTTAATTAATATCAAAATTGTGGCAAGATCTTTATCTTCAGTCAGTAATAATTATTATAGAATGCAGATATCTGGAACCATTTATGACTGCAGAGACAGACATCTTTCAGGCACTTTGATGTCCTAGCCCTTATGTTCCTTCACCCCTAATATTCCTAGGATGGACTCCTCCAATTATAGAACTACTTAAACTTTCATCAAAATATACTACAGGGTGAGTTCAGTCCAAGGGGTGTTGGCTTGATCTGATGTGCCTGATGGAAGCTGTCAATGATAGAAGTCAACACTTGACATCCTGATGCTTAAAAAAAAAAAAATCCCATTCATGAGTAGTTTGTTTTCATGGAGATTCTCTGCCATGTTCTTCTGTCCACTGCAGAGGAATCGCGAAAGTACAAGCAAAGGTCTCCAAATCTACAGCCCTGTACAAATTGTCATTCTTGTGACTAGCATCTGACAAAACACTGAGCCAGTACTGGACAGACCCATGGTGTAACAAGTCTACCCCAGCTTTACTGTGTCTTCAGACACAATAGGACCTCTTTCTCAACATTCAGTCCCCAGTTTCAATGTTCTGAAAGCACAGCCTCAGCTTCAATGTTCTGGACCCACAGGCCCTGTTCTAAGTCCATGGGCTTGGCACGATGTTCTGATTTCTCAGCCTCAGAACTGGCGTTCTGTATCCACAGACTCAACATCAATGTTCTGAATCAACAGGCTTGTCATGACATTCTGATTCCACAGACTCAACATCGATGTTCTGAATCCATGGGCTTGGCACAATGTTCTGATTTCTCAGCCTCAGAACTGGCGTTCTGTATCCACAGACTCAACATCGATGTTCTGAATCAACGGGCTTGTCATGACATTCTGATTCCACAGACTCAACATCGATGTTCTGAATCCATGGGCTTGGCACAATGTTCTGATTTCTCAGCCTCAGAACTGGCGTTCTGTATCCACAGACTCAACATCGATGTTCTGAATCCATGGGCTTGGCACTGATGTTCTGATTTCTCAGCCTCAGAACTGATGTTCTGTATCCACAGACTCAACATCGATGTTCTGAATCAACGGGCTTGTCATGATATTCTGATTCCACAGACTCAACATCGATGTTCTGAATCCATGGGCATGGCACTGATGTTCTGATTTCTCAGCCTCAGAACTGATGTTCTGTATCCACAGACTCAACATCGATGTTCTGAATCAACGGGCTTGTCACGATATTCTGACTCCACAGGCTCATCCTCAATGTTTATTATCCACAGGTTCAGCATCGATGTTCTGTACCAGCAGACACAGTTTTGAATCAATAGGCCAGCACCCATGTTCTGAATCCACAAAGACCATCCCCGAATTGCTACACAAAGGAATTAACTGTCTGCATGTTACCTCCTCTGCAGTGGTCATAAGTTCAGTGTCATGTCTGCTGTGTTGGAAATACATTGTAAGCCCTTGTCGCCTGAAACAGGGTTCCATGGTGCACTTGATCCAACCCAGTCCACTATTGGTTGGTTGTTTATGCATCAGATTCAGGTAAGTCTGGTTCAAACTTCTCATGACTGGTCTAACAAATCCCAAGTCTGAAGTGATCACAATAGTCCCAGAAAATTATCCAGAAGTGAAACGACGGGATTTACTAAAGATTGACAGGGAGTGAAACTTTTTCTGTTCCCTGGCTATACGTGACACTGGTACTGTTATTCGACCTGTTGGACTTGCCAGACTTGCTGCTGGTGGGCGTGTACGACCGGTGCTGGGACTGCTGGGAGGAATACTGACTTCCTTGAGGCGGGAACGGCTCTTTCGCATACGCTGAGTACACGGAGCCGTGGGGTGTTGGATAGACAGGCTGCATCGGGTAGTACCCTTGATGTGTGTAACCATGGTTACTGAACGGTCCGCCAGCTCGTGGACCTGAAAGACAATCATGATTAAAATTAGTTCATTCACAATAATCATCTATTTCCTATTTTGTCAATTAAGTAATCACAATCAACAGTCACAGAAAAGGTTGATTAGGAACTGAAATCCTCTTATGGGAGTGCTCATCTGGTATTGTCGCCACCATTATGCGACCACTGACACATATGAACTGATCTCAGTTTACTTAAGAATCGACTTCATTATTTAATGGATTTATAAACATAGAAACTGGTGTGCATTCTTTGTAAATTCACATGTCCACTCTCTTATCAGCCAATAAGGAAACAGTAGCAGCGATAGAAATGGGCACTAGTCCTGTAGTCCTTGGTTAACTGCCCAATAGTTAAGGTATCATGAGGACTAGAAATCTGCCATTTTCAGGGGTTTGCTATACAGTAAACTTCTGTTACAACAAACTCGAAGGGGCCACTAATTTTAACTTGTTATAACCGTAGCTTGTTATAATCACATGTACAGCAAATGACCGGGACCCAAAATTAAGTTTGTTATAAACATAGTTTACTGTTTGCTATCATTGTCTGGACTAGTGGATTAGCGATGTTTCTCTTGCTGAAGTAATCACTAGTGGGCCCGTTTATTTCTTGTGGTTTATGGAAACCACCAATCTGAATCCAATCTTTCTTTCAAATGTGGCCCAGGGCACTCATAAAAATGTTTAGATGTGCCCTTTGGAGAACATTATTTTGATCCATCTTCAAACTTGGTAAATGTCACTTCACTATCAGCCAGTTGGCCCTTCTTTTCATTGAAATTTTCATTTCAGTTTCAGAATCCCTAGGATCATATTGTGAATCGCACTGTCCATTCAGCATGTTCACCTGACCTCCAGGTTACTTTGCCCAAGTACATTCCTCACTGGCTTCATATAATAAACATTGTTCCTTAACAAAGTATGATTATAAGTGTGCCCTTCAGGCTACCTGCCATTACAATTATAACTGCAAGTGGGGCTGTAATACAAGGAATTTCAAACGCTGTAGTTCAAGATCATATTATGTGAAATTTCTATGTCGTGACATTGGCAGCCATGAAACAAAAAAACTGAGTCCTACATGCATTTCTGATTAACTGGACTTAAATGCCTAAAGGAATCGGACAAGCCTACTGTTTTGTTGAACATCTGGTATCATCACTGATAAAATGTCACCGATCCATTAATATAATTTTCACTGCTATTTTGCATATTTTTCCCCAAAAGGAGTCTGTTTCGACATAGAATCAAGACTGGTTATTCTCTGGCGTTGACATTTCATATTTATTACTTATACTTGTACAGTCTGCTTAATGTCAGTGGACTGTATTGCATCCATGTAATATTTAGTCAACGGAGCGTTGATGAACAATATGTCATGATCACAAAAAGCCATGTCAAGTATTACAAGATATGCCACAGGACTTCCTGAGATGTGAAAAGTTGTATTTCAGTGTAATTACCAAAGTGGAAGGCTGGTCGTGATGCTCAAAAGAAATGGGGTCATTATAATTTACACGTAGTTTCAACTGACTTGTCGCTCGCGAAGGATATTCTCAACCATTTCAATTCTTTCGTAATAAATTTATTTTAATTTTAAGAAAAACAACTAAATTCTAACATTAAATGCCATGATATAATCTCAGTCAGTACGACAACAACCTGAGTTTCTGCTCTCTTGGCTTTGTGGTGTCTGAGGAGTCATTAACATCTTTCAAACATGTCTTTTTTAATTTTTAGATTTAATGTGTTATTCTTACGCAATGAACAAGTTCTAACCAACTACGGCCCTACATGATCTCCTATAGTTGCAGCTCAATGGTTTCCGAGAAGATTATTACAGAAAACAGATTTCTTCATATCACTGACATAAGGGCTTGCATCCCACTGCGTAGCTACAGATCTTACCAGAGTTTCAGATTCCTTGGCAATGTGATTGTAAGTAGATTACATATTATTTTTAACAATTTGACTTTTCTCTAATCTAACAATAACAGTCACGAAGATTTTCATGCCTGTTGAGTTGTGTTGCACTCTGAAAAATATTATGCTTTCAAAATGGCTGTAGTAGACTGGATGTGATGGTGAACATCACGTTCAAGATTACTGAACAAAGAGGCTGCCTGTACCAGTCCAAACTAATACAAGTTTCATAGTGCTAGCCCAGTTTAACATGGATACCCAACTTTACTGACTCAATTTACTGACTCCAAGCTGACCAGTCCTAAATTTTGAATGCCAGGCAGTGTAACAACAAGTACCATCTCTTAACGTCTTTTGGGATGACATGGCTCTCTGATCACCTGGACCACAGAGGCCATCTACAGTATGCTGGAAAGGACATTAGTGAGAACTACTCAATGGATGGATTATCCATCAGAGGCTAGGATATTGTTTTATTGTTCTTTTTATGATATTCTTTCAGATATACAACGGCGGCTGGGAAATAGTCAAGTGTCAACCAAGGGTGAGTGAGTATTTTTTTGCGTCACTTTTAGCAATATTCCAGCAATATCACTGCCAGAAATGGGCTTCAGATATTGTCCCCATGTGGGGACAATGAATCCGGGTCTTTGGCATGGCAAGCGAACACTTAAAACATTTTACCTTCCCCTCTACACCAAGAAAACCTGTGACTGAAAGCATGACCCATAATTCCCATCAAGCTATGATGACACACCATTAACTAGGTCACAGAGCCTCACCAATCCAGTGAATGCAGTTCTCAGACTTTTTCCACTTGACAAAACCGCACCACTTGAACTCAAAGACCAAATTAGTCAACAAGCATGAAGATAGAAGGAATGTTTTAAGTCAATAGAAAATACATACAAGATCTTATTCTCAAGATTTTCTTTTATAGCAGTCATAACTAATCCATTGAAACAACCTTGAATTATTATATAAAGGATGAAGGAAGAATGAGAAGAAATATCCCTTACATAACCTAAAGCTTGTCATAAAACAACTACACAAATGCGAGTGTGAATTACAGTGTTTCTTGTGACACTCAAGCCTCAGCATGCTGCAGCTATGAAATCCCTGCACGTTATCTAAGTCATGCGCAATTTTCCAAATGTAATATTTGTATTAGGTGTCATCCTGTGATCGAGTTGGGAGATAAAGGGAATTGATCCTGGTTTTTGGCTACAGTGATGTAAGCCCAAGAGAAGTGATACAACGACAAGTGTACAGTGGCAGGATAAGAGACCGCTTACTGCTTTCATGTTGTAAAACAAGCCAGCCAATCAGATGGAATCCATCAGAGTTTGTCATCGCCAAATAAACCTACATTCAACGTTCAGACACCTGAAACCTGCTTATCTTGGAAGTACCGAGTGGACCCTAGACTTCAAAGTGGAACGATCTGCCTTTTGATCTGGAGAGTTCATTTTGGCATTGTAGGGGTGATAACAGGGCATGGAATTGGGTGAGGTGTTCCAACTGTAGAGTATTGTTTGATGTTGGGATGCGGCAAATGGCCACTTCTAACCGTATCATCAACACTTTGTTTCCCCTTTGATCAGGAAGCCAAAGAGAGAAGTGCCACTGAGTCTCCATATCTGTACTTGGAAGTTAGTTTGGCAAAGGTTTGACAATTATAAGACAATTCATTAGAACAGTTTAACATGCAAACAAGCAGCAGCACTAAAATCTGTTCACAGTGCATTGTAAATCCGTGAGTGAGTGAGTGAGTGAGTGAGTGAGTGAGTGAGTGAGTGAGTGAGCAGTTTTACACTTCTTTCAGCAAAGATTCCAGGAGAGGGACACCAGCAATGGCATCAAAACAGTGTATACACATGGGGTATTGAAACACTTTAACCACTCTGTAATTCTATAAAGCAAGAAATGTAACCATGTCATTTTTATAATGTTAATGATAAAATCATGAATGCTGATGATGGTTTTGTTAAAACATCATACTAAATGCAGGGTTTTATCTAGACCTGATGAGAGTATATGGCCCCAAGTCTACAGAAAATTTTGGCATAAAATCCCAAACTGGAATGTTAAAAATTCTGAATTCATGTTAATATAGTTCTAACTACTGTTATGACTTGTATTTCACTGAATACAGGGTCAATAAAGAGGAAGAGGTTTTAACATTATTGCATTGAATGGATTGTTAAAATAAATATAAAAAGTAAATAACTGAAACTAAAAACTACAAAAAAATCTCAATTTACAACAAAATAAAATTGTTTCCCAATTTGCCTGTCAAGGGCACTTAGTAAAAATAACAGTGATCATACAAAACCATTTTCTCATTATGACAAAACACCCATTTAATTTCCCAATTTGGTACATTGTGTGAAGCCCATTCTTGATGTCCTCCGATAATATTAATGAGAAACCATACGACAGTTTAACACCAGACACACTGTCTGTCAGCTGTCCAGTCTTTGATTTATCCCCTTAATGCCGAGCACCAGGCAGGGAAACAACAAGTACCGTTTTTTAAGTATGAATCGGTGGCCAGGGATGAAACACCTGACCTTCCAGACTCCAGAAGCTCTACCACGGATGCAGTCATACCAAAAAAAACACTGGCAATGGTAATGATTCCAACACACCATGGATCATATATCAGGGCAAATTTGAGATTCATCCCACAACGAAATCTTGGCACGGTCAGACCGCCTCCGTGGTCTAGTGGTAGAGCCTCCGCCCGGAGAGCGGAAGGTCTGGGGTTCGATCCCCGGCTGCGTCATACCAAAAGACGTTAAAAGATGGTACTTGTTGTTACCCTATCTGGCGCTCGGCATTAAGGGCCTTAAACAAGGACTGGTCGGCTCGGAGTCAGTATACTGTGTCTGAGTGGGGTGTTCATGTTAAACTGCGGCATAATATCTCAGTGAGCTAGCACTATAAATCGGCATCAGTCCGGACTAGTACAAGCAGCCACACAAACACACACACGTGCATGCACGTCGCTATATAAGTGAAATAATCTTGGACGCGACGTTAAACCCCATTTCATCTCACCTCACCTTGGCACAGTCAAGGAACATATTTATAATTGTGAAGCAACCCAGCATGACACAAGCGGTAAGCTGAAGGGAAGAAGTTGATATTTACCGTCAGTGGCTATACCTTGGTAATTGGCTGGAGGCGCCCCATTGGCCACGACTGTTGTAGCTGTGGTCGTCACACCAGACGTGTCCTGTGGCTTCTTACAGAACGACTTGCGGCAACAGCACACCAGCGCAACGATGCAAGCGACGACGATAACGACGCTCCCTACAGTGATGGCAATGGATGCCGTAACACCTAGCGACAGGAAGCGGCTGATCAAACCAGTATCTGAAACGAGAAAATATACATCATTGTAGGGGATGACGGCTGGGATTAGACAAGATAATCAAACGGAATGGCCTAACAGAGAGCCCCAGCATTTGAGACTAAATACTAGTTCATGCCTTGTTTATTGAAGCCATCTATGCATGGGGAACAAATAAACAAGTAAAAGTCTTGCCCTGAAACAAACAAACTGGGAAGGTTCAGAGAGTTGAGAATTGAATCAGCCTTACTGGAGGAATGGAGGCAGCTGTGCATTATGTAATTTCATCCCCACTTTTATAGCCTCAACAATGACACTATTGATCATTGCCATGAAGCAGCCATCCCATCTCAGAGGAAATTGCAGATATTCTTGGACATTTGTTTACACGATATGTATAAGAAACAGGACTGAATCTGCCCTAATCTCATCTTGAACTGACAATGAAACTTTTTCACTAAGCCTTTCATCACAAAGTTTGAAGCCGTCGTCACCAGAAGAGGGGAATTATCTTTATCTAGAAGCGTAACCCTTGTTAAATTGTAATCAGCTCCCTCCCTATGGGCAGTTTACATCTTGCCTTTGTAGCGCAGTGTTTTACTATCAGTCCAATCAGCAGCCAATCCAACACCTTCACGGCAACACATCTCACTACACCACTCATGCTTTTTGCTCTAAAATCTCCGTTCTTAACATCAGGCTCAAACTGATTTCAATATCAAAAGAAGAAAAAATGGCCTGAAGGCAACAAATCATGTATTTTTTGCCGATATTTTGTAAGTGTTTACAGCTTATTTTCTGTGAAACATGTTCAATTTTTTAACCACGAGCTTTGTGGTATTATCAGACCTCGACACTGCCTGCAAGTTACACGGCGTAGCCACGCTTCTCATGCAGCCAAACTTTTTACAATCTTATCATTTACTTTGAAACTCAGAGCTTTTTGTCAAAAAAGAATCACTTGAAAGTCGATCACGAGATTTCATTTCAAAATGTCCCTATCGTCTTTCCACTAGCAACAAGCTACTTAAAAGAAATCCTCTACAGCACGCTTTCTGCACAGTGGCAAGACTGTACTCCCACAGGCTACATGTTGTACATGAGACGATGCTTCTTACCCATGATGCAACAGTTAATTATGATCTCGGCAACATGCTTTGATCCCATTGATACAGGGAGACAATACGTGCTGATGACAATCATAAATATATTTCATCTTCTCCCCATAATAAACCATCTTTAAACTTTGTCTCTTATCAAAGAGGGAAGATGTGATTAATGTTCTATAAAAGGATTAAGTGAACTGTCTTTGAGAAAAAAATAGCCTTCTATGTTATCTTTCATACAATGGCTGAATCTGAACTAAAAGATGGAGCTCAAGCCTTGCACTGGGCCTAATGAGGACATGAAACAGTTATGGATAAATAAAAGTGACAAAATCTTTTCCATATCATTAGAAATCTCAATCAATTTCTTTACTGTTTGTAACAATGTTTTAGGCTACTTCCTGTTACTTCAGGTACGCGGTGAAATCATGTGTTGCTCCAACTTCTATCAGAGACCACGAGGCAGTAATAGTCACAACATGGCTGGGGATGTGAAACAAGCAATCGTGACCAACTCGTGTTATTCTGGGACAAGCCGAATAGCGACTGGGCATAGTTAAAAGAATTGCATAATGATTCACGTATATTTCCCCCATATATCATATATATTCCTGATGCTATTGAAAACACATCGGGACTTACCTTATTATACAGTAGAGTTGAACACATTAAAATGTATCTTGGGTATATTTTTAAATGCAAGACATGTAAAATAAAAAAATATTCGTGAGGGATTCTTTGACTTAAGTAATTGAAGTCATACGCGCATTCTGATCGGTTTGTCGCATTTTAGCACTTAACATTCATGGATAGGGGGACGAGTCTTCTTGTAGGTTACGGAAAGGGGCGAGTGCTGACGAATGGTGAAACAAGATCTCCAGGCCGGCACAGCTCTTACAACTTACAACGTTCCCACTTCCGACTTCAGCCAGTAATTCTTAACTTATTTCTGGAATGGTACACTAAGAGTAAGTTTCTCTAAAATTGACAACATGAATGTCTCAAGAAAAGTCTGATAAGTAAAGTAAGCCCCGGGCAGCAATGTCTGCAGGAAGTGGCTGAAAATCTTCCAATTTCAACGGGTTTAATTTGCAAGTCTGGCAGTCTGGCTGCAGGCAACTTGTGACTAATACCAGCAAGTAATGAAGGCAGATTGTAGCTCAATAGCAGGGTCAGATGGATGGTGTGAGGTACATGGACCGACATTGTCGTTCTTCATCAACAGTTCAGGTGGAATGGTAAGGTTGGTGTATGACACAGACAAGTGCCCCCGTGTGGCAGACGGCAGTTCCCGGGAGAAATCTCAGCATATATCCCTTAATCCCTAGCCTACAGCAGTAGTCTATGTCATAATTCCGGTATATAACACCCACTTACCTACAAGTTCCCCTACTTGTACCATATGAAAGTTTCAGTGTCTGAATCCTGCAACTTCAATAGCCACTAAAGACAAATCCTACTGAAACCTAACAAATGTGTGACCAAAGGAGCAGAAGGTGGGCATCTTCAACTATAATCTACATAAACATTAGTTCAGTTTAGTTAGAACTAGTTCTCTTAATAATAGTTTTCATTATGCCACAAGAGAATCTGACCAGTAAAGGCAAAACTACAGATTCACGATCCATAAATACAACTTATACACACATAATGACTAAAGTTTGAAACTGATAATACTAGTTCTCCGGATAAAATAGTTTTATTATGCCACAAAAGAATCTGACCAGTGAAAGAAAGACTCACGATCCAAAGATTCAACTTAAAAGCGAATATGACATAAGCGACCTTTTGTCCTTAAATACGATAGTCTCAACGTGTTTTATAAGTCTTTATCTAGTGACTTGCCACCGAAAATAGAACAAAAACTACTTTCGGACAACTTTTAATGTATCCATAATTCCCTTGTATGTGTCTCGATGTACGACATATTGATCAGATAGCCAGATTCCATTATGTTTCTCCTCCACTACTACCGTGGGCATCTGCTATCGTGAAGAACACGTCTGGATCAGTTTAATGGAGAGGCAGGCGTTTGTATCTGTCTGTATGTGTTATTGATTGGTCGTTTCCCTCCAGCTATCCCATCATGCAGCTGGCCATGTATGTAGGGAGTAATTCAGCACACCTTTAATGAGAGCGTGATTACGTGGACATAATGGCCATGAATCTTCCCTGCCTCCAGAGGGGAGACAAGAGTTGAAGACAGGGAGAGCTCACAGCAAATTGGCTTGCTAGAGGCACCAGATTATAACTGTTTTTGATTACACTTGTGATAAGATACACCACAAAGGTCTTGGCTTCTTCAATACTCTGCTAATACAATTTTTCAGTTAATTACTTTCTAGTGCAAAGACCTGTCGACTCTTGGTCTATAAATACACAATCCAGCAGCACCCTTGACCTTCTATATGCTCAATTTACAGGCCTTGACCTGCAAGGGAGATAACTCCATGGGTCAAAATGTAATGCCTCCTTAACTCACCACAAAATCTACTAAATTCTGGAGCTGATGTCTGAGGTCTGGTATACCTAAAAATACAAGTGTTTATCTCGCAAAAAAGTTGCATGTATCTATTGGATTCTTTTGCAGAATTTTATTTTATGCCACTTTTTTTATGTCCACAAACATGGGTATGGTGCCTACCATTTGTTTGTTTGGTGTCTAACGCCGCATTCAGCTTTATTCCAGCTATATGACGGTGGTATGTAAATAATCGAGTCTGCACCAGACAATCCAGTGACTGACATCATGAGAATCGATCCACGCAAGTGGGATGCGATGACATGCATCAGCCAAGTCAGTGAGCCAGACCACCCGATCCCATTAGTCGCCACTTACGACAAGCATAGTCGCCTTTCACGGCAGGCATAGTCGCCTTTCACGGCAGGCATGGGTTGCTGAAGAAGTATTCTACCCCTGATCTTCACGGGTCGAATGTGTGAAGGTCATCAGGGACATGTATTGCTGAAGACCTACGGGTTGTATGGTGCTTACAAACCAAGAATCATACTCAAGGTAAATCTGGGATTCAAACCTTTTATCATAGAATTTGGGCATACAAGAGTAAGTCATACTTGTTACAGAATCATAGGCAGGGAGCCAATCAATCAAGTCAAAGAATCTGTGATAATCAGAACTTTCCTCCAACGTGAATGACTGACTATAGGAAGGATAATAAATGGAAAAAAATACATAAAATCTATTTTATGACTTTCTATGTGATGATTTATCAACAGGTTTCATTCAAAATTGTTTACCCTTGTCGGGATACACACAGAGGCGGTATAACAAAGGAGAGTGTTACATTCAATTCCATTTACTTTTGACCTGTTACAGGCAGTGTGGCCTCATCACTGCTGTCAGTCATCTGGGTGCCAGTAACTCTGCTATTTGCACAATTGCTTCCAACTAATACTGGTGTATGACCTCAAACTATCAGTGATAAAAAACGGAACCCTTTCCTGACAAAGATTACCAGATGACTGCGTGACTCCAGGGACACAGGGAGAATTGAGGAATAATAGAAAAGATATGATACCATTTAGAGAGTGAATTACTTTTTCAGAGGCCTAGTTACTTAATGAATAGAATGGACAAGGGTCGAGAGTCTTTTTTAAGTCAATTTGCAGATTGCTTGGCTGAGGTTGACCTCAGGTCCCCAGAGCTGTGCTGCTCTGAAACACGTCACATCCTCCTGGGAACATGTCGTACACTCTGGTCACAGTTTCACAAGAAGTTCCTAAATCATATCACAGTATCGTCCATTTGTTGTGATTCCACCTACAGTGAGTGAGTGAGTGAGTGAGTGAGTGAGTGAGTGAGTGAGTGAGTGAGTGCCACAGTCAGCAGTATTCCGTCTTTGCTACACTGCCTGTAAATAATCTGGACCCTTTGAACCTAGGGTTGATAGCACGAG